CAAGGTGTCTGAATCATATCTTATGAAATAGTGCTGGCTGATCCCTGCAGGGCCCTCACAAGAGATACAGAAATCTTCAATTCCATGTTAGCAGCATAACGTTAAACTATACAAAATGGAGGAAACACCTTCTGAAAGATTACCATTTTCACCTTTGTACTCACTCTTGTGGCAGGCGTGGTGATGACTATCTGACAATTGCTTGAATTTCTACAACAAAAAGATGGAAGAAATTTTACATTTTGTTTTCTTAATCTAGAATTCCTCTATTCCAATGTCTTTGCATATAATTAAAAAATGTATTTTCTAGGGTATGTTTTCAGGCAATAGTTAAGAAGTTTTATTTCTTACATATTAACTCATTACTGACTGAAATTCAAGACAAAATACAAAGCAGATATTGAAGGTTTATTTAGAACAAGTACTTTCCTGTAACACAAATAATTCAGAAAAAGGAAATTTTGTTCCTTATGCATACTTATGTAGCTTGTCAATATATGAGATGTCTTTAAGAAGAAATGGTTCAGGTTATGGTATTTCAAGAAAAGACAATTTGCATTTTATTTGCATTGCTTTTCAACAAACATGGCAGTTCAGCATTTGTTTTTAGAATGATTAATCTCAGTATTTTTAATATGCAACTTTATGGTAATTGCCACTTCATGTTATTTTATTTTAAAATTACTTACAAGAAGATGTATTTTTCTGGATTTTGATTATGAAACATTTTCCCTGTTGCTTCCAAGGCATGCCAGATTTGCTGTTTCTTTCATCTGATTTAATCATACAATAAAAGTGGTGTAAATGCTACATAAGAATACAGGTGTCAAAGCCTAGGAGACACGTAATACTCAATGCAGCAAGGATTTCACCAACACCTGCAAGGCCAGTTACATTTTCTAGGTTCATCTTCCTTAAGGTTTATTCCATTTCAGATTTCATCTTCGTGAAAGAAATGGATCTCTGGACTGGCTCTCACACAACCTTTCAGAGGTTAATTCTGACCTGATGTAAACTTTCTATGCACCACAGATATATCAGTACAGAGTCAGAGAGAAATTTAGCCAGAAATTCAGGTTTAATCCATGTAGGTTTGGGGTTTTTTTCCCACATTTTCCCCTATTATATATTCAATCACTCTGTTATTTCAAAGTTAACATTTTTAATTCATTATTTCTCTGGCTCTGACTCAGAGAACCTGGCTGGATTGTTCTCCAGCCTTCCAGTATCTTTGGTCAGGATCACAGTGTATGTACTTTAAATGGTATTAATTTCTTTTGGGTATGGAATGCTTTTCAAATACAAAAACAAGCAAGGCAGAGACACTATAATAGGAATATAGTAACTTACTTGGGTTCAGTTATCTATTGTGAACTCTAAGTGAAAGCAAACTGGAGACTGGGCTCACCACCCATGGACTGGGGAAGAACGCAGGGATTCGGGGTGTATGGTTGTCAATAGATTCCAGACCTCTAGTGGACACATTGGAGAAATGCTCATGGAAACGTGAATACTGCATAGAGAAACCCTATGTACTGTTGGGCAAAAGCTGCTGAAAAGTCTCTTTCAAAGGCTTATCTATTATTTGTGCAAAACTGCACAAATACCATGTCCCATCATTCACTGTAGCTTTAAGTACAGGGGTTCCAGAAAATCTGTTAACATTACCTGATTTTTTCAATTAATTTCAAAATCTTAATTGCTGTTTTAACTAAACAACTACAGTGAGACATTCCTGAAACTGAAGGACAAGAAGCTGGAGGATGGCCTTGCAGAAAGAGATCTGAGGTTTTGGGCTGGGGGCAAGTTGAATATGAGTCAGCAGTGCCCTGGCAGCCAGGAGGGCCAACCGTGTTGCGGGGCGGGGGGGAGCATCAGGCAGCCGGTCGAGGGAGGGGATTGTCCCACTCTGCTCTGCACTGGGGTGGCCTCACCTTAAATATCGTGTGCAGTTTTGGGCAGCACAAAATAAGAAAGATATTGAGCTCTTAGAGAGTGTCCAAAGAAGGGCAACAAAGATGGTGAAGGGCCTTGAGGGGAAGCTGTATGAGGAGCGGCTGAGGGCACTTGGGGTGTTCAGCCTGGAGGAGACTGAGGTGACCTTAAGGCAGCCTACAGCTTCCTCATGAGGGGAAGCAGAGGGGCAGGCACTGGTCTCTCTGGTCACCAGTCATAGGACATAAGGACATGGAATGAAAGTGCATCAGTGAAAGTTTAGACTGGACATTTGGGAAAGGCTCTTTGCTGAGAGGGTGGTTGATCACTGGAACAGGCTCCCCAGGAAAGTAGTCTCCAAGCCTGTCAAGTTCAGGGAGCATCTGGATGATGCTTAGTCATATGGTTTAATTTGAAGTAGTCATAGAATACCTCAAGTTGGAAGGGACCCATAAGGATCATCCTACAAGGAGCAGCGAGTGTGACTCAGTGATCCTTATGGGTCCCTTAATCATACTGTATGATCCAAAGGACTACACTGTGGGTGAAGAAGGCTGGAATGCAGTAGACTATGGCTTCTCTTCCTATACAGCTGATGCCTCCTTTCAGTCACTGCATGAAAGATATTTAGGAGCTAAGAAATTTCTGTACTTGCACTTAGGCTTTCTTATACCAAGGAAATTTCTACCTAGGATGCCAGTGGTGGTGTCACTTTGCTTCCTTGGCCTCCAGCTCATACTGAAGTGTTGCATGTTGGGCACAGTGACACTCAGTGGAGGTGTGACTTTGTTCAGGCCATGATAGTTTACTGTCAGTCTCCAGTCTCCAAATCTGTCCAGTCTTGGACAGTCTTTCCACAGCCAAGGTACAGATTGGAAGGGAGGAAAAAAGACGATCTTCATATTGCTGGAGTCAGGTAGTCACTGGAGCACTGTTTTTCTACTTCTTTCACTGATATTGCGAAAGACGGAAATGTTAATGGTTAATGACTCAAAACAATCAGCCATTTGTGGAGGTGGCAGGGTGTTTTGCTGGGCCTGGGTTTGCAGCTCCCTGCCGAAGGGGAGAGGAGAGTTTTGGGTGTGTAGTGGTGAAACCTCTGATGCAGAGGGCATGAGCAGCAGAGGATAATGATGACAAATCAACCTTTGTTTAGCAAGAAACAGCGTTTTAAGTCAGATAAGGGAAGAGGCTGATCCTTCAAGGTGGGATGGTGCTTTTCATCATGCCAGTGTCCTCCCTTCTACAATTGGCTCAGTTGTAAAACTCTCCCCCAGGGGAGATACTGGGGCATTCATATATGGGCCCAAAGGGCTACATAGCTGCTCTCCATTGCAACCAGACTGTTCTAAAATAAACCCTACATACATATATATATACACCTACATATTTATAAACACTGGTCATTCAGTGTCTTTTCACTCTAATCTGCCCAAAGGGATCTATTAACTTGAATTATCCTTGTCCTCAGGGGTGGGTTGTAACAGACATGAATGACAATGGTGTGCTCCATACAAACTTCTACCACATGGATTGTGTACACCTCTGCTCATTATTTGAATCTCTGTAGCTTACCACCAGCACAGCTGATTCTCTCAGGACTGGATACCTTGTACTGGATACCTTTCTTCATAGTCTTCCACCTGCTTGGGTGCACTATTAGACCATCCTCGAGAAAATAAACTTCCCTCCTGCTTGACAGGAGTTGCCTTCAGAGGCTGAGAGATTCCTCTTCCCAATCCTCTTTTAATTCCCACATCCCAGGACAGGGATCCCAGTTTCCTGGCTTCACTACCATCTAGTGTCATATCGTGGGCTGCGATATCCCAGCATTGGAGCAGCCAGGTCACCAGGGGCTCACCCAACTTTTTGCATACCTTACAGCTCACCCAGGGATAGGGATCGGACAGAAATCTCTAGCCCTGGCTCTTCCTCCTCTCATGAGGGCCCTGCTTCCTCTTCATCCCTCACTTTGTGAACTGATTTGGTCTTGGATTTCTTCTGTATAGGTGGGACTGCTACCGGCACTAGTTGTTCCAGTGGTTCAGCTGCAGTTTGAGTGGCTACAGTGCCTATTGTTCTGCTTTTCCTCCTCCTCCCCCTGAGGATGCCATCTAATGACCATCAGTGTCTCATAAATAGTAGCCAGGGCCCAGCACACTGCATAACTCTGTGCCTCTTTCAAGTTGCCACAACATTTTTCCTTCACATATTCTACCACTTTATCAGGGTCCTGTAATTGCTCAGGGGTGAACTTCCAAACCGTTAGAGCAGAGTAATCCTTCAAAAGTTGGCCATTTTATCCCCATGTCACTCATGACTCATTGCAGATCTCTGAATGACCTTCCTAGAAATCTCTACCTTGATTCTAAACATGATGTGGACTGCACTGAGGAGACCTGGCGGACTTAGCAACAAAACCATGCTTTCCTCAATATCCAGAGGCAATTTACAATTCTCAAAAGCTGTTGTAACAGGCTTGAAGTAGAAAAAGGGGGTGAAAAGCTGGGGAAAATCATCCTTCCCTGTTCCACTCACAGACTGGGTACAATTAGTAATGGGCTCCCACAGGCAGCACCCAAGGTAAGGATCGGAGAGCAGCACTGGATACATATCCCAAATGACCCTCACTGCCCTTGATGTTATCGTGCCATAAACTGATATCCCACAGTACATTAACAAAGCAATCCTGATCCCTCTTCCTACTCTAAAAAATATCATCATGAGGGGCACAAATGAGAATATATACAGGGTTAGGTACCCCAGCCACACGAACAGACTAAGGAACGTTGTGACCAGTGTCTCCGCACCCAATACAACAAATGCTTAAATCAATTTTATTTCCAACCTGCTCTGGCCAGATCTGTTGTTATCTCAACCCTTTGTGCCCCACATTGGGTGCCAAATAAGGCTGTCCTGGTTTAGGAAGGGTACTCCCCAACGTAGTGCTCCTGATGAGACCCTCCAAACCATGCTGCCGCTCGCTCACTCTCCCACCCTCTCTCCCCTCCCTCCGAGGCCAGATGGAAAGGGGAATTGGAGGCACAAAAGGTAAAGATCACAGGTTGAGAAAAAAAGCAATTTACTAGAAAGCAATGAGATACGAAAACGAACAGTAACAGCAACAATATTAATAACAAAAGTATACAAAAAAAAGTATACATGCAAAAATGCTCACCATGGAGCTTGACCCGACTCCACCGCAGCCACACCACCGCAAGTGAAAGGAACCCCTTCTCTCTGAAAGAGACTCCCCCGCGCCCCTGGTAATGATGAAGGGTCCCAGCCATGCCCCCTCCTGCCTACTGGAAAAATTAAACCTGTCCTGGCCAGAGCCAGGCCAGAGCCAGGACAAATATGAACTGAGAATATCACAAACTATCACACACACTAGTTAGTATTAATAACAATAAAGACATCTATCTTCTGTGGTGATATACCTCAATACCTAAACACATTTCTTCATGTGAATATGTATCAGTGATGTCACGAAGTAGGACACTTGGCACAGTGTCACCCACTGCATTCAGTGTAAACATTTAGATGGTCAAAACTGGATTTATTTACAAAGATTTTCATGCATGGCAACTGACTTTTTCTTCTAAAATTATATAAAATATATTTAAGAAAAGGATGACATTGCATATTTGCATGAATAACAATGAAAGAAGAGGAAGAATACTAAATACCTTAACTAAAATCAGCAAATAGTTGAACTGAGGTAAAGTTACAAAACAACCAACCTTTGTCACCGATTACAGGGCTAAAAAGCAGTTCAAATCTCCAAGCCAAAAACTGACACCCGAAGAAGAGCCAACACTTATTCCTTGATATTTTGTAGTAGCCTTAATAAATGAGACTCAATAACCTGTTGAACTAAAGCAGAGAAAAAAGATGAGGTTAATCAGTGTTCATTTTTTTTCATTTTTTAGGGTTGTACTGTTTTTTCTGCCAGATGCCTGCTTGTCCTGTATAATGATTTATTAAAAGGCCAGACAGGAATAATTTACTCTGTGAAGAGGGTTTGCATCCCTTCAGAAAATAAAAGCCTTATATAATGCAAAAACAATACATCCAGGAAGGCAGATGATGGGTTTTGGGGGTCCTCATCTGTTCTGTGGTTTGAATAGGTTGATAGCATATGGAAAGCAAATTTTTAGCCTACAAATGGAAAGTAAGGAAAAAAATTATTAGGAATGTCTTCTGTGGAACATTCTGAGATTGAGCTTTTGAAGCAGTCCTACATCTAGACATCTGTGAAGTTACTGGCTCATTCATAAGCACAGGGCTCTGCTTGGAGAAGCAGCACATCCAGTGCTGGGAGAATTTTTTGGTTCAGTTCATTTCTGTGATGGCAGACATTTCACAGCTTTCAAAATGAAGGCAGCATGAGGAAAAACACCAATGAAGAGTCCCTTCTTTGCTTCTGTTTTCCATAACCAAGTGAGGTAGTATATTCACTACTGATCCTATTACTGTGTCCTTCAAGACAAACTAGAGATAGAGCTGGTCTGACAGGGGAAGAAGGTTTTGCAAACTACATCATTACATGCCAGTCAACCAGACTGAGGGGTTCAGGACAGCTGCAGGCCTCTTACAATTGTCCAGTGCAACACGCTGCTTGTACAGGGATGGGGGAGCAGCTCGGCTCCCCTTGTCTAAATCATGGCTGCATCAGCCCTAAACACTGATATTTGTGCCCACTGATACAGATCCAGGTCAGTGACATTTTCTTCCGAGGTACCTGGCTTTCTGAAAAAGGGATGGAAGCCCCTACCCATTTTGGCCTGATTCATTTAGGTGTATTAAGACTTGTAGGACAGGTAACATGTTGAATGCTGCAAAACCTCTACCAGGCCATTACAGCAGCTACATATACAAGGAGCTGTAAAAACTAAAATTTTTTTAGAAGAGTTTACATTTGCAATACTCACCACTCCGATAGCCCAAGGCTACAGCCAAATCCATGGAATTATAGCCAGCATCTGTTTCGATAGTTGGATCTGCACCATTTTCTATGTGAAATAGGAACAGACTTGTATTTCTGACAATGACAACTGATAGTACATTATTACTGGTAATTCTGTTTGGACAGTCTGCTTACCAAGGAGAATTTTTACGCATTTCACATGGTTCCCATGTACTGCATATAGTAAGGGTGTGCCTCCATTCTGCAAAAGCAGAGAAATGCCTTAAGACACTTAGTGATTAAACAGTCCGTGATTTTAATTCCCTAACACACCAATAGGCTTCTATGTATCAGTAAGAGACTTCAAAGATTTTATGAAAATGAGGTTGTTTTGGATCTTCACAACTTCCATCCTTTTTTGTCTATTTTTTAAACTTTAAGCTCACACTTCTACAAGGAGCCAGCATTAATCTCATTCTCTTTCTCCCAAGAGGTCAGAACTAGTAGAACCAACTTCTCTTATCCTATGCAAGTTTTGAAACTCTCAAATATTTCAGAAGAAGTAGAACAATTTTTAAATCCAAGCCAGTGCTATGTCCTGCTTCAGTTTTCTGACCAAAGCACCCTCTGACATAAATTTAAGCTAGAGTCTTACCCAGTCATACTCATTGACATCAACTCCACAGTCGAGCAGCATTTTGACAATATCTGTGTACCCTTTACTGCAGGCCAGTGAGAGGGCACTTTCTCGCCCCTTCCCCAGGATCTGAGGATCTGCACCCTGAAATAAAAGTATCAATTTAAAAACAAGAAGCAAATTTGAGGTTTTACATAGAATTAAATTTAAACCATTTAAGTCTATAGCAGCATTGACAAACTTAAGAAGGCAAAATGAACTAATGGGTAAATAAATTTAAAATGTAGTGTGGTTTTTTTCCTTACATTCTGGAGGAGAAATTCCACTACTGCTATCTGCCCATGAGCTGCAGCCCACATCAGAGGGGTAAATCCTTCTTCATCCTTATGATTGATTAAATTTTCTGTTTAAAGAAAAATATATAACTTAGTAATCCCTTTCACTAACGCACTGTGTGAGCTGGTGAAATGTGTTGATGTATCCATGGTGAATACCATATATTCACCAGGTACCAGTGTGGCCTAAAAGTCATTCTCATCTCAACTTTAAAAACAAAATTCTCTCCCATTGGTGGTGGAAATATCTTTGTCCAAGAAAAAAAACCCACATCCAACTGACCACAGTAAAATTTAAACTTTTAGTTTAATAGTTTAAAATTTAAGTTTTTAAACTTTATAAACTCTGTTTTTATTTAGAAATGTTACAAGTTGTTTGTAATCTGGGCCTTATCTTTGGAAAGAAGAGAAAGGATATTTGAAAAATAAAAAGGTACATTCTGTATTATACTGTAGGCAGTGGTTTTTTTCAATACAGTGAACCACACAATCTTGTAAAGAATGTGCCCATACAGCAATATAAATAGAACAACTTCATTCCCCTCAAAGTTCATGTAATCAGTAAGGTGGTCTGTGAAAACAATTAAGGTCTACATCTAGTGCAGCTAGGAAAAAAAAAAAAGCTTTTTTTAACAATTGGCTGACTGAAATAGTTCAGCTGGATTTTTTAAAAAATACATATACCTTAAAAATCTCATGCTTATAGTAACAAAATAAGCATTTTTAATAATTACCAACACTCCAGAATTGAGCTGCTTGTCATATACATGGCTCATTACAAAGTATATAGACTTAGTGACTCATTACCTCCTTTCCAGTAAACATTTCAACGAGGATGCAGTGAAAGCATGGCTAATTACTATTAGTACAACAAGAATATAATATTAACTAAATAGTACAAAATTCAATATGTTATCTGGAGTTGAAATTTTGTATATGTGTTGTGGACAACAAATGCCACACTGAAGGCTACCACACAACTCAGAATGTAGTGCAGGTGTGAGCCATGGCTTAAATTAGCAGCACACAGGTCCTTATGGTGATTGATTAAACAGAATTGGAAAACCATCGTTAGAAGAAATGTGTTTTAAATTACAATGAAAATCTAAAAATAAAGTAAAATTAATTTCTCTAATAGAACTAAGATTCCTTTCTCATTTCCATGGATTACCTATATAGCTTGAGAGGAGTGAGAGAAAAGGATTTACCTACTACTCCTATTACTGCTAATGTTTTAATTTAAATGCAAATCATAGCACTGAGTGAATAACAGACTGATGTGAAACCACAGTCCACATCTGCAAAGCACAGATATGTCAAATATCCTTCAATTTGTACCAGAACTGAGGACTTATTTTTTTAATATAGCTTTAAAGAAGGGTCAAATACAACAGCATATAAATGGCCCAAAGGAAAAAGAAAGGCGCTTAATCTCCCTCTGTCTTACCTTGTTCAATACGTGTGGCCAGATATAACATTTCTCCCTGAGCAGCCAGCTGATGGACTGATAAAGCTGCAGAAAAGGAAGCAAAAGCATGTGTTACACACACCAGTTTTCATTCTACTCTAACTGAAGCTGAGTACAACATATCCGTTGGCTTGAGCACTACTGAACTTGGATTTGAGGGAGTAGATAGGTTTCTCTGAACTGAAATCACTCTCTTAAAAACTGAAGTTTTCAAAGAGTTCTATAGGTTTAGGTAATTTTTAAATCATTGTAGAAGTCATACTTGAAAACAAAGATACATACTTCCCACACTGACTTTTTACAAAGCAACATGATCTCTTCTCTACTGCTTGGTCAGCAAACCAAGATCACATTAAGACCATTTATCAAATGAAAATAAATGTATTTTGATAAATTAAGGATGTGTAATTTAAAAATTACACCTAAGACACTGCATATCATCAGGAGAGCTCTCCTGCTATTCAACAGACAAAACCTCTAGTGTGACTCTCACTCACTACAATGTGGAATAGATCAGACGTTACAAAACTGTATACAACCTGACATACAAAGGGGATGGAAAATATTGTGGGATTTTTTAAAAATTCCTTAATATAAGGTACCATGTCTTAAAAGCAGAATAATTCTTAAGAGATTATGAAGAAAAAAATCTCCAATCCCACAGCAAGCTGCATGGGTTCATGGTTTTCCTAACTGCAACTTGGAGCAGGCCTGAAAGATTCTCAGGAGGGAATATGTAATAAATTATCCACACTATATAATAATGAAATCAGCTAATGTTACATCAGTTGTAAATGTTGACTGTCCTCAATCACTACATGAAAATTTCAGATAGACATCATATTTTATTCAGAGGCCTACACTGCAGCTCCAGCTTAATTCTTCCCATGCAAGTGGCTCTTTGAAAAAAAAAGGCCTTTATTTCCTTTATAAAGGAAATAATTTACAGATCAAGTAAATTACAGCAAATTAATTTATAAAGAAAATGCTTGAAAATTCAGAACCCCCCCCATAAATAATACTTGATTTTCAAGATCCATGACAATCACGATATTTGCAGTATTCTGTAGCACTTACCAATCATCTAATTTTAATAAATTTTACAAGACGCACAAATTCTGAAAACGTGTACGAGGCACATTAACTTACAGCTTAGAAAAAAATTAGAAAAATCTTTACCTATATTATTTAAATCAATAATTAGATTCTTTCTGGAAAGTAAGCTTCAGTCATTAATTCAATACAAAAGGTGGATGACTATTTTGTGGTTGAAACCATGTGATATTAGACAAGACTAATTTAAGTGTTTTCTTCCTGTGTTGAAGTTCACTGCAACACCAAAGAAAAAACTGGAAAAATCTGTCAAGCATTCAACGTACAGTTCACAAAATAATTATTAATAGTAAGGCGGAAGGATACTTACAGTTTACAAGCAGAGGTGTTGTAGAGACTTCGTTTCCCCTGTGTTTGTTAGTTAGGGTAGTTGATTGTTTTATTGGTGAGAAATGCTTAGTAGTTGATGGAGTATAAACATGTCTTACTTGGATACCAGGGGAAGGAGAAGTGTGGCTGTTGCATTCGGCTACATTGAACAAAAAAAAACCAGACAGGATTTCAGTACTAATAAGAGCATTAAAAGCAAACCATAGATTCTAAGTCAAACTAGAAAGCACCAGTATCACAAGACCTTTAAAATCCATGTTAAGAAAGCTTTTGACATGTGCTTTTTCCACTGTGTGTTGTGAAAGTTGAATAAAAGGCTGCATTCATTTCTAGCATAAAACAATGCTGCTACCACACACATTCAGTATGGTATAAAGTCACCCAAAGACAAGTTGATCTCTAAACGAGGTAAGCCTTTGTCTAGATTTTTCAACATGCCTGCATTGGATTTATCTGTAGGAGGGCTCCACTCAACCTGTCATATCCTTACGGACACTCCAACACAATGACACGATGCACCTCTGGTCAGATATGCAGTCTGGTAACTGCTCAGATCATGCCTCTGCCTGCTCCTAACCAGTCCACTGCCTGGGTGGAGATGACCTTCTCTAACTTTCTTTACCAGGGCTTTTCCCACTCCTGGGTAATATTTTGACAGCATTATGAATGCCTTATGAATACTTATCCAGCAGGAAAAGAGATGTTCCACACTAACATATAAAATGCAACAGCATTTTATGTTCACCTATGTTCACCACTTAGAATTCAGGAAGTCATTCAGTACTAATGTGTTCCTTCATACTAACTTACTTTGCTTTCTCTTGGAAGCTAATGGCATTTTACTACATATATTTATATGTTGCCTTGGCTTCTAATTCTCAAAAGTTGCTTTTGGTTTTGAGAAGTAGCTGAGAAGCCAAGAAATTTTTAAGAAGCTAACTGATTAAATATTGGAAAGACATTGAAGGATTAAACTCCGTATTGATTTGACACCAGTGTGAAGAAGTAATTAATGCCTGGAAGCTAATTAACACACACACTGAATTAACACCATAGAGAACTTTGTGATCATAAACCCATGCACAAATTCTGGGAAAGAACCAACTAAAAGGAGTAAAGCTTCACAGGATAAAAATTAAATTACATTTTGTTTGCCAATCAAATAGCTACAGCTGACTTCACTGAATTAAGTGCCCTATCACAGATTTTGACCTGTGGTCCCTGGATCTGCAGGACCACTTCTAAGACAGCAACCTGCTTATTGCTGACAGATCTACATTTGCCACTCAGACCTGCGGGTCTGCTGGTGAGCACTTAGGGCCTCCAAATCAAAAAGTCTGAAAACTACAATGGCTGAACTGCAGCCCAACAATACCAATCAGTGAAACCATCAAAATTCACAATAGGCCTGTGTTTGCATTTGTTTCAGGAAATGGGTGACATTCAACCTCATGAGAAGACACACCATTAACAGTCTGAGATATGACAGCAAGTGCCAGAAACCCCAGTTGTTAAGAGGAAGTAAATGAAAGACTTAATTTTGTTCTGTATCAATATCCCCGTCTGTGAAAAAGCATGGATCAGTTCTGATGAAACTGCCCAGCAATGGCTGGATTAGCTGCAGGCATTCAGAATTGGAGCAGCTTTTGCTTTCAAGTAGCGTGAAGCTGAACTGACAAGCCCATTTCTACAACCACAGGCCTTGTACAGCCACATGATTAAACAAGCAACCAGAAGACCTACATTATTTTTTCCTCATACTAGTGAAAAGATAAAACATGCTGCTAAAAGCTACTGAAATTAAAGTGATTGCATAGTGCTTTCAGTAGTGTTTTGTGAAGATCCATACTGTTGTAGGACATGCTACACAAATGTTCCCATGATCAGCATCAGCTCTTGTTAACTTGGGCTTTTTGTGCCACTGCTTTTTCAATTTAAAAGAAAAATTGAAATGTGATTTAAAAAACAATCTTGGTGGAAATTAATTTTACATTAATAATTCATTAATCATATAATAAAAAGGGGAATACCACATATAAGGTAGTGGATTTTTTTTAAAGAAAACATAATAGTTTAACAGGATGACACAGTCCACAGATAACAATTTGTACCATAAATTCAACCTTTAAATAAGACAGATGCGACTTCAAGGTCAGAGTTGACTTGGTCTTGAATATTTTTACTGTCTTCCTCATTCAGAGATTTCACAAATCGTGAGCAGACATTCATATCAAATCTATTGGGCAAAATGAATTTCATCCCCATGGTGACACTCTGAGCTGGGCCTTCCTCTGTGCTGGAGTCTAGCTGATGCTCCACTTTAATGTCTGGCATGGGTGGAAGGCTGTAGCTCGTGGTACATTCTTCCACAATTAACTGGGCCCCAACGTCTAAGTTTGTTGACGATGCCATGGCTTCAATCACGTAAAAGCTTCATGCAAAATGCTTCTTCACAGTTTCCAGCTAAGTCCAATTCTGTCCAGCCAAGTCCAGTTTTTTGAACAAGCTGCAACTGAACAAACGTAACTCAGGTTAAGAACGTTCTGGTGAAACAATGAATAAAAATACACCAAATTTGGCTTCATTTAATTTTATGGCATTTAGTTTTGACAGTCAAAACATTGGTGAAATATCAATCTTGTTGCTGTCACAAGCTAGTGACTGAATTCTCCACTGACATTTTATCACGTGGATGTTTAAACCAAATTCCATAATGAAGCCAGTAGAGGTTTCATCTAAGTGATGCTTCAGAATATTTGTCTGGTCGCAACAAAAACCCCCTCACCGCAACCAATCTGGTTTATAACAAGCCACGAACAAGCTCATAAAGATGATTTTATTTCCTAAAAACATCAGACTTGAATGAAAAGCTAAAGTGACTTTAAGCCCCTTTGTGTCTTTTTGCAACCTGCGTAAAATAAACGGCTTCTACCACACACGGAGGAAAAACCCCAAATCCCTTCCACACCGACGGTAGACACCCCGGGATAGCAGGGGCTTGCTCACAGGACCGCGGGAAACCTCCGATCGGGCCGGGATCCGCCGCAGCCGCGGGCACGCCTGGAGCCCTCCCTGCTCCCTGGAGGGGGGCGAAGCACCCGCCACCCAGAAACCACTCCAGCCTGGCAGCCCCACAGATGCCGGTACCTCCAGCACCGCTCCCACCTTCCCTCTACCCCACATCCCGTCTCCCGCCGGCCCGTCCCGGCCTCACCCGGGCCGCACTCCCTCGGCCGCCGCGGGCGGGGAAGTGACGCGCGATGACGCGCAGCCTGTGCGCCCGCGCTGCCTCTCCTCGCGGCCGGCCCGGTGCCGCCATAGCGCTCCCGCAGCGTGTCCCGGTCCCATCGCGCTTCCCGAGCCTCTCCCGGACAGCCCCCGCCTGACCCGGAGAGGTCAGGGGAGACGCGGCGGCAGCCTTACCGTGCCCGGAGGCCCCGCGCCCGGAGCGCCATGGCCGCGTACAAGCCGGTGGTGGTGCAGGCGTGCCCCAAGCTCGGCGAGAAGATCACGCAGGACACGCTGTACTGGCGAGGGTACAAGGTAGGAGGCGGCCCAACAGCCTCAGTTACTACTCTGGAAATTTTTTTTTACCGCTTTCGTGCAACTAATCGAATTATTTTGTAAAGACGCGTGAGTTAGGGTTTTTTTGTTTTTGATGAAAACACGTAATGAATGGGTCAGTTGTTATGAGTGTATTGGAAAAAACCTACGAGAGCCGGAGTAGAGACTGGCAGAAGTGAAATTCGGTATCGTTGTAATTAAGAAACGATTTGGCTCTAAAGGAGTTTTGAACTCGCTGTAGGAAGTAGTTTTTATTTTGCTGTTTTCCTATTTGATGGTGTGGTAATTTTTTTTCATGATCTTTACTACTGTTGTTTTAGACACCCGTTCAGATAAAGGAATTCGGTGCAGTAAGTAAAATTGACTTCTCCCCAGTCCCACCATACAACTATGCTGTCACAGCCTCCTCGAGGGTAAGTGGCTTTTCTGAGGTTTTTATGATGCTGTCCTTGTGTTGATATGATGCAAGAAAATTTAATGCCTTGTTGTTTTTCCAGATCCACATTTATGGCCGTTACTCCCAGGAGCCCATCAAAACATTCTCTCGCTTCAGAGATGCCGCATATAGTGCCACGTACAGGGATGATGGGCAGCTGCTTGTTGCAGGCAGTGAGGACAGCAGCATCCGCCTCTTCGACGTCAGCGGGAGAGCACCACTGAGGCAGTTCGATGGGCACACTAAGTAAGACAGTATTGGCTTTTCCCTCCATAACTTTCCTGGGCAACCCGTCCCACTGCCTCACCAGCATATAGTATTTATGTGCCTGCTTTGCATGTTGCTGAAAATCTGAGTAATGCTGTTACATGTTGCTTGCAACTGTCTCATGCAGATCTTAACTGAAAAGTAGATTTTACAGTTAAATTCTAACTTGGAGGGAGGTTTTTTTTTTAAATGCTAAATATGCATAGAGTATAGAGAAGAGTAAATACATTTTCTGTTTCCAGTAGGTGTCTGTTAATATGTTGTGTAGATGGAGTCTTGCGACTACCTGGCACTGATAAGTGTCTTATATTTGATGCTGGCAGGAAAAGAGTTCTAAAAAGTGTCTAAAAAAAAAAAAAAGAAGAAATATGCCAGGAAGAGAAGGGATCCCTTAAAAAACCAAACCAAACCAAACCAAAACATAAAAAGTTCATTATGATAGGGTGGGGTGGGTAAGGAGTTAGAAGTTCTGTGTACCAGTGAGGAGAAGACAATTCTTGAACAGGTTGCTGTGCTGTGGAAGACCAATGTGTATTTCGTCTATGTGGAACAACAACCTCCCTTTCAGTGGAAATCACCCAGGTTGATGTTGTGAGTGTTTCTGTTTGAGGTCTGTGTTTGTAGATCAGGTGTTACGCTCTAATGACGAGGTTAACTGTAGTAAGATCTGTGTATCTGTGTTTTCCGTAAAAGTCATTCTCTGTTGGGATGTTATGTTGACAATAAAGATTTAAATAGCAATTTTAAAGGATGGGAAGATTGTCCAAACCAGTCGTACTTAAAATTTACTATAATAAATTTTTCTTAAAATTGTAAATGTTTTCTAAAGGACAGTGCTAGCACACAGACCTCTAAGTAACAAGTGAAGAATGTAGAGCTTTTGAATGAGCTTTCAAGGAGACCTGTAAAACATTTAAAGCATACCATATCAGTGCTTAGGTAAGCATCTGTCAGCATGACCCTTTTCTGCCTGGAAATACAAAACCTAAAATATTTTAACCTCTAAAGTAAGGCTTTGTAACTTCTGATGTAAAAAACCACCTTGCACTTCTAAGTTAACATACTTTATTAAACTCTTCATACAGACTAACTCTTCTTGAAACACATTGTATTTTGACTTTGGGTATTGTGGACTTTTGTTTTCTAGACCGGTTCATCTAGTGGGTTTCCTGTCCGATAAATACAGGATATTTTCTGGTGGTGATGATTATTCAACAAATTTGTGGGATATTCCAAGTGCCACAGAAATTGTCTCATATAGTGAGCATACTGACTACGTGAGATGCGGCTGTGCAAGTAAAGTGAATGCGGATGTCTTTATAACAGGTTCAGTTTTATTCTGTATCTATACTTCTTTTGGATTGAAGAAAAATGCAGAAAGAAAATTTTTCATTCAGTAGGATCTTGTTTATTATATTTTCATAGTGGAGGGTTAGTCTTCCTACATAATGCCTACTTTGTTGTTTCCTTTTTTTGCTTGGTTTTTAAGCTTGACACTGACGTTTTGGGGAAAGTCAACATGAACTGAGTTTTAACATCTTTTGTTTTAGCCTTTTAGGGTTAACAGAACTGTTCTAACTAGCTTTTGAAAGTTAAGAAAATACTGTGAATGTATCCTTTGGCTGGGGTTGACTGAGGTATTGACTGAGCCAGTAGTTCTGGCTCCAGAATGAAAGGTCACGTGAAGAGTTCTTTGAAACCATTCCTTTTGGTTTTCTTGGCAGTAGCTTTCTATTAATCTGTGGTAAGCTGCTGTGAAAAAACCCTAATATTCCTTACATCCGGAGGCACAAGAGTCTAGGTTTCATCAGGTTGCCTGGTATTTATTGTTGTAAATACACTTCATTAATGGAAGTGAAATAAAATTAAAGCAAATTACTTTTAAGGGCTGAGATGAAGCTAGGGCTAGAATTAGAAAGTTTATGTTGCCTGAAGGCTATAAAATAACCAAGGTAAACCACATAGAGTTTTTAAGTATGTGGTGTAAAACGTTACTATTAGCCAGGAGCTCCTTTAGATTGTAGAACATGGCTGTTTTAGTTCCTGAAATAATTGAAATTATAAAACTGAAGCCATTTATGGTGGTGTTTCTAGGTTCCTATGATCACACTGTGAAACTATTTGATGCACGAACAAAAAGTAGTGTCATGACAATAGAACATGGCCATCCTGTGGAGAGCGTGCTTCTGTTCCCTTCTGGTGGACTTCTAGTATCTGCAGGTAATTCAATAAAATGAAATAAATCAAATATCTTTTCTGTGGTCGTAATTTGAGAAATACTACAGCTACTTATTTTTTGTGTGGTGCTTTAATTTCATAATGAAGTGGTAAGTGATGTAACAGCTAGATTTCTCAAATATCTTCTTTAGGAATCTGTGTTTATTTGAAGGGTGTGAGTAGGGGTCTTTTCTTTTTGTCTCTGTTTTGATATTCTTGTAGCAGGCCCACCCAGAAAAAGACATTTTTAATGACAAAATACAGACTTTAATTAGCCCAGTGCTGAAGTGAAGGAATAAACATACTTAAGAAGTTTTGAAAAGATGGGACTGTGTCTTTCTCTTAATGTTGACAAAGTTTTTTAGCCTCTTCTTGCCATTGCATCGCAAGTCCTGTGACCCAGTGGTTTACAGATTTTTGTTTTTTTGGTAAGGAGTATGTTGAATCATTCAGCTCCATTTAGAATGGCCTAAAAAGGAGGAGACTTGTAGTGTGTCTTGTCCCAGGAGATAGTCATAATGGAAGGAATGGTGAGTAGGTACAGAAAATTGTGACATGTAGGAGGTACTGTATTATTCTGTGAGAACTTCAGAGAAGCGTAAATGTGTACATATGTAAGACTGTTTTATGTGCTTCCTTTTCACAGGAGGTCGATATGTCAAAGTTTGGGATGTACTAAAAGGCGGACAGTTACTAGTTTCACTTAAAAATCACCACAAAACTGTAACTTGTTTATGCCTGAACAGCTCTGGACAAAGGTTATTGTCAGGATCCCTGGACAGGTTAGTACGTTTTGTGGCTTTTTGAGATTTAAATTCTTTAGAACTTTTATTCCTTTGAAAGGAAAGGATTTGTGAATCTGTCCGTGTTTTTTGGGCTTTACTTGAGAACAGGTTTTGGGGCCAAGGTATGTAACTAATGTCCCTGCTTATTACAGGGGGGTTGATCTAGATGACATTTGAAAGGTTTCTTCCACCTTGAACTGTGCTATGATTCCATGATATGCCTCAACCTTTTCTTCTTACTAACCTGAATGTCAGTAAGGATTGCATGTGCCATACGGGAATGCACATGGACAACTTCTGAATAAGTGTTTTGGTTTTTTTTAATTTCTGAACTGACCTTTGCAGTCTCTGTAAAGTAACTATTCTTTAATACAGTTTAAATAGTTAAAAGTGTATTAGTATTCACTTTTAAAAAGCCTGAGTTTTCTGTCTCATGCTGTTGCTTTTTGTACCTGGGATGATAGGTGAAAGATGACCTCCTTGCTTTTTTGTTTGTTTGGTTTAAGTTGGTGAATACTGATTCTTGGTCTGTTGTCTCCAAAACATTAGAAATATAAAGTGGTCTGAAATGACAGTGGTCTGTTTCCCTCCTCCCTCATGTACTTCCTAGGTTACCTCAGGCTTTATGATTACATAACACTACAGTTCATCCTTGTAAGATAATGTTTTGTTTTCCCATTTTTAAAATATTTGATACTTTCAATGAAATGATTAAGGAGGAGCTGGATACAATATCTATGGATTTACTTCCAGAAATTGCTAATAGATCTTACATTTAAAATTTAAGAACAAATTTGAAGTGATGTTTCCTAATAAGCATTTCTGAAGTCAGATAGTCACTACATCTGCTTTCAGTTTCTTCTCTTGTCCTTGCCCCATTTTCATCTTTTCTGGGGTAAGAGCAATCCTGTCTTGACTTGTGGATATCTTTTAATAGTAATAATTAAGAAGCTCAGTGGTAGTCTGGGGAATGCATCGTATCAATACTCAGTTTCCTTAAATGATCTATAGAAGTTGAGAGTGATGAAATTCCTGTAAAGTGACTATGATAAGGCACTACTAACAATAGTTCTATCATTACTCTTCTGTATAGGCATGTGAAGATTTACAGTACTACATCCTACAAAGTAGTCCACAGCTTTAATTATGCAACATCCATCCTCAGTCTTGCGTTATCGGTAAGTACAGTAGACATCTTCCTAGATAAGGTAATTACTGATACCTTTTAAGTCACTAAAGTAATTAATTTTGCTTTCGTGGCTATTGGAAGTGTTTCAGAAGAGTGCTGTTGGATGCAAAGTGGGATGACTGATTATATTCCTCCTGAGTAATAAATACATGAGAAGTTAGCTCAGCAGAGTGTGATTTCTGTGCAAGTCAAAGAATTTCTCTTACATAAGCCTGCTCAGTCTCTCTTTGAGCTTCGGCAAACTTGAAACTTTGCCTAGATTCCTTGACAAGGAGTTCCACATTTCTCATACTTGTTGTGTGAAGAATTGCTTCTTATTGTTCCACTTGAACCTTCATTATCTTCAGTTGATGCCTTTAAATGAGACATTGGCCCGCTGATCTCCATCATACCTGTCATAATTCTATAGCCTTTTATTATATCATAATATGGTTTGGCTTGAATGGTATCTTAAAAAATCACCTAGTTCCAGCCTCCCCTGCTAGGGGCAAGGACACCTTCCAGTAGACTAGGTTGCTCAAAGCCCCATCCAACCCGGCTTTGAACACTTAAAGGCACAGAGCATCCACAGCTTCTTTGAGTGAAATTTATACCTACTTTGTTGTGTAAGTGACCAGTGTTTTGAACACCTTTCAGATGTTTCTCAAAATTCTGCTGTTCCATGATAGCTTTGCTTTCTCCTAGGTGGTGGTCATGCCTGTTGTATGGCATGTAATAGCCAAAGGCAGTTGTATGCCATTGAAAAAAACAAAACCTCATACTTGCAGAAGGATGTTAATGCATAATTGAGCTCGATTCACTAGTTAGTCTGTAATGTTGCTAATGAACATAGCCTTGAAGCTGTCCCTGTTTTGAACAAAGTATTTGATCACGGGACCTCAAAGAGGTATCTGTCACACTATTATTTGAGCCTTATCACAAAGCATAAAAATTTAAAAATCTCCATGATAGAGCAGCAAATAAAATACTTGGGTCCTAACTCTGTGATTTCTTTGTTCTAGCCTGAAGATGAAACTATAGTTGTAGGCATGACCAATGGGGTGCTAAATGTTAAACACAGGAAACCTGAAGAAAGGAATGAAAAGTCACAAAAGAAGAGACAACCAGCATATAGAACCTATGTGAAAGGAAGAACTTACATGCCAAAACAGGTATGAGGTGGTGAGAAAATATGTACTGAAACCCTTGTCAAAAATTGTTTTTTTTGGAATGTGCTGGGTTGGAGAAAGGGAAGGGAGGAAATATATAAGACATACAAGCTTGTTCACGGTAATACGTCTAATCTGTTTTGTGTGCGTATTTGTCTAATTCTGAACTCTTCTTTGAATCCTAGGAAGATTTCTGTGTCAGTAAACCTGTAAAACGTGTTTTGAGGAAATACGACAAGCTGCTGAAGAGCTTTGAGTCTTCCAAGGCTCTTGATGCAGTCCTGGAGGTAACGCATTGGTTTTTCTCATCAGAGTTGTGTGATATCACCTGATGTGAATTTTTCCTATATGTCAAACTAATTTTATCTTAGTGTGTAACTAGAAAGGAACCAAACTTAGGTTCCATTTTGGTTTTGCTGATATCAGCCCTGTGTTGTGTGTAAAGATACTGCTTTGGTACTAAGCTCTTCTATATATGTCCAGCCACCCATCATGCTTCATACTCCTGAAGTTACGGTTGCAGTTATGCAGGAACTGCATCGCAGAGGAACATTGAGGAGTGCACTTGCAGGCCGAGATGAGAAGCAAGTTAATCTCCTCCTTACCTTTGTGGCAAGGTATTATTTTAACCTGAGTTCTCTCTAACTATTTTGACACTTTTATTTTCTAATAATTTGTCAGAGTTTCAACAGATCACAGGTAGAACATTGTTGCTCTCACAAGCCTTTTGCATTCTGATCGAAAGCTGGGATAGGTCTGAAACAGTTTACCAGTTAGCACAGAACAGTTTTGCTGATAGTATGAGATATTCTACTTCTTTGACAGACATTCAACCCTTAATCTGTTATGTCCTCATGTACCTGAGACTTTTGCCAGTCCTCCAACCCCCACTGTCTTCCCAAAAGGAGAAGGGTGAATACCACATGCAGGGGGTTTTTTTGACCTGCATCTGTGTCTACTGTTCTGTGCTGTGTCTTCATGGAGAAGTTGTCTGTATGCCTGTGTGGAAAAGCTGCTTGTTGGTGGTAGAAGTGCAGTGGATAAAAGCAGTAAAACTAGAATGTCTTCCAATTTTGCAGGCGTGTGATTGAGCCACGATTTACTCCTGTGCTGGTCACTGTTGCAGATATGATCACTGGTAAGGACAACACAAAAAAGATTCTCGAAGTTATATAGCTCGCTTGGAAATAAGGTTGAAAGTGCTACATTTTAAAGAAAACAAACTTTTACGGGTTTGTTTATAAGTATGAAGTCTTATAAATGATCCAAAAAGAGACATTGCCAGATAACTCTAACTGCAGTCAGTATCTGATTTGCACTGGCTGCAGGAAACTCCTCGTGGTCTCTAAGTACCTTTAATACTTCATGTTTCTATGCTTACATAGTACAAGTAACTTCTTCTGTGAGGTAAAAATAGTATTAGAGGTCATAAAAACATGTTTTATTAGTTTGACATACTGTTACATTGAGTACATATGACTACTGTTTATGGAACACCATTAAAGTTGTTTTATTTGTCCACAGGGTTGGACTTCTGCCAGATTCCTTAAAAGCATCTCTAACTAGTTACTATAATTTTCACCTTTTTATAAATATGTGGATTTTTAAGTGATTTTTTTTTTTACAGATATTTATCAGCCTGTGGTTGGGCAGTCAGCGATTGTTGATAAACAGTTCTTGAAACTTCAGGAAGCTATAGGAAAAGAGATTGACTATCAAGAGGAACTACTAGAAGTTTTGGGGATGATGGATACACTGTTTGCTACTTTTACTGAGAAAAGAGATACATATCTAGAAGAGAACAAAAGTAATGGTCTTGCAGAGGCCATGGAAACAAATAGGAATGACTGAAAGCCATCACAGCAAATTGTCACAAAAATACTGTGGACTTGGAATATATGATCTGTTCTCCTTGTAACTTTTAATAGTGACTGTCAAAATAAGCCTTTCTAGGTTGAAGATCTGTCTTCCAAACTATGTTGCTGAATAGGCTTGATTGCTGAAGACAGAGAAAGAAGGAAGTTTTCAAGATTTTCCTTGCAAAATTTTTTGAACAATTGAATTTTACAGTTTTATTCCAGAGTTATGTAACTTTTTAAAGTATGTGTTTGGCATCCAGTACTATAATGATTTGATTTTATTTACTAGAAAATAATTGAGGTTTGTCTAATTTTAATGTGTCATTGCCCTTATTTAAGGTTAGTATGCCATCTCACATCCCTGGAAACAGGAATAAAATGGCATATGCATTTGATACATTGTGTTTTCTCTCCCTGCTTCATCTTCATTTCAGACTTCCATGAATTCATCGGAAATCGCAAAATGACTCAAGAAGAGAAGTACATGCTTATGTATATTGAAAAATATGAATTATATAGAAAGTAGATAATACTTCTAAAGGGAAATTAATTCAAATTAAATTATTGTAATAAGGAAAATACACAGCAGTGAGAAAATATTCAGTTAAATGTCAGAACTCAATTTTTGTGTAATTCTATCACTTTCTGTCTACGTTGTTATCAGTATATGTTTGAATGCTAGGGTATGGTTTATTTTAACTTCAGGCAATGCTGTATCACTGTGTACACATTGGAAACAGAGGTGTGCTAAAGGCTATTGAGTACATTTAGGATGACACTAGGCTCTTCCTAGAGCCGCCTTATTCTATGAACCAGTATTGCTTGGAGTTGAAGGCACACATTTTTCTTGGGAGCGTAGTGTTCCATGGCTTGAAAACTACTAACCTTGACATAAAACGTATTCTCAGTTCTTACTGACAATATTCATGTCTAAGATATGTATCCATTGTAGTGTCTCAAAGTTTGATGTGTGGCTAGCAGAAGCATAGGAAGAAGTTGGATTAAAATAGCGATTAGTTTGATCTAAGTTGGAGAGAGAGAGATTTGATGGATGGACTGTTCAGTGGATGAGAATTTGGTTAGATGGTCGCATCCAGAGAGTACTGGTCAATGGCTCAATGTTCAGATAGAGATGAATGATAGATAAGTGGTGTCATTCAGGGGTCTCTACTGGGACCAGTATTGTGTAATGCCTTCATCCATTACATTGACAATGGATTGAATGCACCTTCAGTGGGTTTGCAGATGACACAAAGCTGAGTCGTGCAGTTGACAGACCTGAAGGACGGGATACCATCTAGAGGGATCTGGACAGACTTGAGAAGTGGGCCCTTGTGAACCTCATGAAGTTCAACAAGTCCAAGTGCAAGGTCTTACATCTGCATCAGGGCAATCCGAAGCACAAGCTGGGAGCTTGAGTCAAAAGACTTGGAGGTGTTGGTGGATGAGAAGCTCAGTGTGACTGGAGCTTGTAGCCTGAGTTGTCGGATGTGCTTGCCTTCAGCCCCTGGCCTGGGTCGCCACTCTGCACACTGTTAACAAAGCAGACTGCTGATTGAGCCATAGGCACCAATAGTCCAGTGTCTTACAGTGCCTGGGCAGTCACTATATATATGGTCAAATGTTTGAGTCAGTAATCACTAGCAGTTCAGTCTCTTTAAAGAAGGAAAAACACCAAAAAGAAAAAAAAAAAAGGACATATTTGGGGAAAAGAGAAAAGAAAAGCTGGATACCAGAATCTGTGTAACCCAAGACAGGTGCTCAGTGCAGGAAGGATATGGACCTATTGGAATGAGTCCAGAGGAGGGCCATGAAGATGATCAGAGGGCTGTGGCACCTCTTCTAGGAGGACAGGCTGAGAGACTTGGAGGGTAGAACATTGGGGTTGCTCAGCCTGGAGAAGAGAAGGCTCCAGGGAGACCTCACGGCCTTTCAATACTTAAAAGGACAATTACAACCTTTTAGCAGGGCTTGTTGTGACAGGACAAAGGGTAATTTTTATAATCTTAAAGAAGGGTAGATACAGTCTAGACATAAAGAAGATTTTTACAACGAGAGTGGTGAAACATTGGAACAGGTTGCCCAGAGAGCTGGTAGTTGCTCCATCCCTGTAAACATTCAAGTAGTTGCAAGGGAATTGGACTAGATGATCTTTAGAGGTCTCTCCCAACCCGAACTGTTCAATGATTCTCAGATCTTAGAGTAATTCGATGTGTTATGATGTTTACCATTCAGGATATTCTTCCAAGTGAGTTTGCCAAGGTAGACATGAAAACAGATGTTAGGTATTGTCTACACAAATGGAAATCTGATGAAAACATAGAGAAACAAATGCTATTTAAGATCTTAATGTCTAACAAGACTAGTAAAATGAAATTTGGAAGACTTATTTGACTGACCAGTTGTATTATGAATTCTACTGGATTTACTACCTCCGCATTGAAAGCTAGTATTTGTTCAGGTGACAAACTTGCCAAAGTTGTCTAATCTTTGTGTCTCTGTTATTCTCTGTAATGAAAAGTAATAACTTCTTTTTCCCATTTAATAAGATTTTTTTACATTATGCAAGCTTTTCTTCAGTACTAACATAATCAAGTTATCAAGGAGCTTGCGTAAGATACTGTTATTACCATTGTGGTGCCTGTTGCCCATGTTCTCATTTTATGTAATACATAATAATTATATAATGCAATATAAAACTTCAAATTCTGGCTTTTTTGACAGGTTGATGGTTGAATAAAATAGGAAAAAAAGTTCCAGTTTGTAGTGTGCTGGTGCATGTTTAAAATGCTTTACGGCAGCGCTAAGCACGCATGTTTTTGTTCTACAAGTGAAAAAGTAATTTATTTTTATGAAAAAGTACTTATTTTTTCAGCAGTCCATTACCAGAATCTAATATTTTGAAGTATTTAGATAGAATGTCGTGAACTGAAATAGTTGAAATAGGTTATTGCGCATTAGATTGGAGGAGATGTAATGCTGAGTGTCCTGTTTTGGGAAAGCATATTATTCTACTTATATGGAAAAGTGGGCATTTATTGCATACGACATGTTCCTTTACTTGTGGGTCATTTGGGAATAACCAGGTTGATTTGTGTTTAAAATATAGTTAATAAATTACCTTGCCCCACAGCAGATAGTTACCTACAAAAGCATGTCTGTTATTAGTTTTTTTAATATACTTTTCCTAGGAAGCATTTTTGTTGGACAGAGGGAATAATCACTGAATGTTGGGTTCAGGAGCACAGTTAGTGTGGAGGCTTCTCTAATGCACCTAGAATTAATAGTAAACACTTCCCTTTCCTGTGTTCGGGCACCCGAATTATGTGGGAGAAATGGAGAGATGGTCTGCTTGGTCACTGCTGATTTTGTCAAGCCTTCAACTGAACATTCCCCAGGGAAGGCATTGATCTCTCTTCCCTGGACTAATTCAGCTAATGAGTGAAACTTTTATTGCTAGATCACTTACATATTCTAACTTCTTGAGGGTAAATACCTTTGTATTTCAACAGATTTGCATGATAGAAATGCAAGAGGTGGTTTACTCTGGAACTGAGGCCTGTCAGTATCTTATGGAAATACTACATCCTGTTGGAAATTATGTTAATTCAATTACAACCTTCAGATAGTAATTTTTGTATCTTTTTCAATTGTGAAAATTTGGAATTGAAATCCTGAGTCTCCAGCTTCTGCAGATGCACCTGTATTTGTCTTCTTTTCTAGGATAACATACATGCACTTGGCTAGCTTGCTATATTCAGTTGTGAGTGAATATGGCAACTGAAGTAAAGCAATCCCTCTGTATGTTTTCAGTAAAGTATGCTGGGGCTGGATGTAAAGGAAAGGTGCTCTAAGATGGTTGCAAGCCACCCTTAACCTGGCTGCACCCCGTCAACCTGTATCTTTTCCTTCTGGTATATTTAACTTTCCAAAGTCCTGATCACACCGTAACCAGCAGGTTATCTCTGCTACTGAGAGTTGTGGACTTGTTCTGACAAGGACAGCACAAAAGTCCCTGTTTCCTTGTACTATGCAGAGATGTTTTTCTGTGTGATCAGCTACCCAAAGTAAACCACCAAAACCTTTAAACTTTAGAGATGAACACACACACACCTATGTAAAGCCATGAATCTCTTGCTGAAACAGTCAGGGTGGTAATGGGGTTCTACTGGCTTCTGTCTCTCCTCCAGGGCAGTACCTTTGTGACCTGTGCTCTGTTACAGCAGTCTAATATGCTTAATTTTTAAAAATGCTTGTGAAACTATAATGCATTTAGATGGTTCAAGGTAAGTGAATTAGCAGAGTTTAATTGTGTTAAGGACATCTGGTAAGAATACATAACTGAGAAGCTTCAATTTTTTATTATGAAATGTGAGTCAGGTTGTGATCTTGTGCTATTAACTAGGGTCTTCCGGTGCATTTACCAGCTTAGATACAACTTTTCTATTAGTTGAATAGGCAATATGTAGGCCTTGGAATATCAGCTGTCAGATGGATTTCATTATTCTATGTTCAATTTTTTTAAACTATCAACACACTGTTAATGTGCTTACTATTCTTATTGCAAGTAGTTTTCCGTTTAAAAGTCAGGAGCTGCAAGAATCCTTGTAGGTATGGGAAAAGAGTACAGGATGGAAAAGTATGGCAATAGAGCTTTGATCTCAGATGACGGCACTGGAGGACTTGGATAACATTTTTAGTATTGGCTTAGTCAGTTTTAAAGTGGTAGCATTGCTTAATAAACTAATACTCAGACCTTACTTAAACTCTGCTTCTGGGCTGAACAGACCCAGAATTCTTATGCTTTCTCACTCTCTCTCTGATTACTTTTAGTCTCCTGTGTTTCCCAGATATTTGGGCTACCAAGGAAATACACACCTTTGTTGTGTACCAGCCACCGTCTCACAGTAAAACACTAATTCTTTCATGCACTGCTTACAGCACTTGGATAAACCTTTTTTTCATCCCCATGACATTGTGCTAAAATGCTGCTGTTATGAAGAAAGTATGCTGTCCATCAACAGCAAACAGGTCACGAATTCAATTACAGTGCAGTAAGAGGGAGCTTGGGAAGTCCCTATCCGCAACCTGGTACTCACAACCCCACATCTTCAGTGCTTCACCGTCATTACCAGTGAAACGGGTTGACAGAAGAGGCTTAGGGAATCAACATAAGATGATTTTAAGAACAGCTGAAATTATGTATTGCATATGCTTGGCAGCTGAAAAGCCGAAATGCGGTGTGGTTTATCGGGATCAATGCACTATGCCGCACGAAACACGCCTGGAGAGGCCGGGAAGCAGCCTGATCAACCAGCGCCTTGCGTGGGCAGATCCCAGCCGCGTACTGCCGACTACAGGACCACCGCCCGACGACCGGAGCGGAGCGGAGAGGACGGAAGGGGAAGGCTCCGGCTGCCTTGAGGGAGTGCCGGGGCTGCCGCAGCTCCTGCCCCGCCGGCGGGCTCACACCCTGCGCTCCGGCCGGGAGAGGGCAGCGCGCCCCTCCGAAAGTCGCCGGGGCCTCCCCGCCCGGCACCGGGGCGCAGTCGGGGCAGCGCAAGGCTCCCCGCCGGGCTCCCGCTGTCCCTTCGCTGTCCCTCCAGCTGCCAGTGGGGAGCTTGGGCGGCTGCCCCGGAGTCTGCTTCTCAGGAGCCGGGCACCACCCTGCCATTGCCGGGGCCATCACACAGCTTTGTTCCCTCGCCCTGAGGGCTTCCGAGGCCCAGGGGCGGCGCATCCTCGGGGTCGGGCGCGCCCCGCGGCGCTCCCGCAGGCGGCTCGTCAGCGCTGCCACCGCCTCCCGCGGCGGCTGTGGCGGCGGAGCCTCTGCCGGGACGCTCGCTGTAGGTAAGGCGGCCTCTGCCTCGGGCGGAGCGGGGAGCCCAGCCCGCGGCACCTGCTGCCCAGCAGCCCCGGGGCTGCGCGGATATTCCCCGGCTGGGACGGTGCGCGGTGCGCCCGGCCAGGCTCCGCCAGTGTCCTGGCAAAGCGTGTGCCTGGGCTGTCATTTGCCTTTCAAAGCTCCAAAACGGGGGAGAGGGATTTGTATGTTGTGGGATTTTTTATATTGTTGTTTGTGGGGTTTTTCGTTTGGTTGGTTTTTTTAAATATATGTTGTGGTTTTTTCTTAAGGTCATTATTTTGCCGTAAAAGCCACTCATGGTTTTTTTTCCAAGTTCTTGCCCCAGCGTGGACAAGGTACTCAGTTTTGATCATAAATGTGTTTGCCTTTCTCAGACAGAGCAAAAGTTTTTAACTTCTTTAACTTCTTTAACACCCACAAAATGTAAAGGAAATGAAAGCTTTTCTAATGGTAAAATAATAAGCAACTTTTGAAGCAGTTCTTGGGTGCATTTTGTTGGGACACTGGTTTGCAGAGCTTAGAGATGGGCCAGTTTTCAACCTGCACAGTGATTTTTCTATAGAAAAAAGGCTCTAAAATTGTCTTTCATTTTTATGGATTTATTCCTGTCTCTGTATCTTGTCCTGTACAAAAATGAAGATAATTCTCCTCATAAGTCATTATAAGGCACACAAATGTGATTGAAAATCTAACAGATCTTTTCTTTTACAGAGATAATAGCTCTTCATGACATATTGTGGGAGTAGGATTTGAGTAAGAGGGATTTTTCTACATAGGTAAAAAATTAACTGTATTCTGTGAATTCAGTATGAAAAATTGACAGGACAAAATGGTGAAAATATTTTAGTACTTAAGTGCTTTTATTTTTCCAGAGTGGTGTTTGAATATTGACTGTGACTAAGAAAGTGATTGTGCAGATGTATCTTAATAGTCTACCAGGAAACTCATCTGGCCTTCTTATTTGACTTGCAAATTAGACATTTATGCCAACATTTTCTTCTGTAATATCATGAATGAATATTCCTTTTGCTTGATCTGAAGGTGCTGCTGTTATGCAGCAGTTCCCATTCTCTCCTCCCAAGAATAATTCCTTTGTGGGGTCATTTCAAAAGGGTACAGTGTGTAGTGGCCTGATGTTCTTTGGATCTGAATAACATGTTGAATTTGCACCACAACATAGGAAGGATACCCTATGACTGATGTAGTGACTCAGATTTGCCCAGATTTTGGCTTTACCATCCAAAAAGCAGCTCTTTGCATGGGCACACATCAGTCAGCACATGCACATCTTGATTTCCCAGTTATACATGGGGAATATGGTAATCTCAAGGCAGGAATATGTGTTCTGTGTACCTTCTGCAAATAAGTATTTTAGTTTCCAAGTTTCCAAGATGGTGCCCAGAACAGGAAGGAGAATTTTTATCACAATGCATGTTTGTGCCCAAGTATTGAAGCTGCAAAAGTCTTTGCTTGTATGAGGAGTTTTTGGACTTTTTGACTGAAGTGTTCCTTTTTATTTTTTCCTCTTCTGTATTGGCTTGAATATTACTACATCTGTAGCATCTTCTCACCACCTGTCTGGGAATGTTTATGGAATTTTCCTCAATGTTGTCTGTTGAAATTCTTCAAAAATTACAGAAATTTCAAAATTTTATAGATTTCTGTACCAACTAGTTGAGCTCTGCGAGTTGTATCTTTCAGGTTTAGCATAATTAAAACAAGTACGTACCACCAAACTCCATGAATAGTTAGAAGAGGGCTATAAGGTGGAATAGTTGCCCTTCTCAGTAGAAGCTGATTCCTTGAATATCAGAATTATGTTTAATGACTTTTGGTATCAAAAATTTTTTTCTAGCTCTTAATGGCTTTAGAGTTTGTGGCACAGTTCTAACT